GCCTTTTCTGCACATGCAAAACGGATCAATTCGTGTAAGTCCAGCTTTCCCCTTGACCAAACTTTTTTTTTTAATTTTGAAAAAAAAACCAATTAAAAATAAAAAGAAATAAGCTTCATCAACTGACAGTGAGCAGGAGGGCAACTTCATTTCATTCCAGGGGCTGTGTTCAGCTGTGGTGTTATCACACACGGGAGGTACTGTGCCAAATTCTGTATTAAAAGATTGCAGATCCACAGTAGTATATAAGTACTGTACTTACATACATTTAAACCAGTTCGTTTGTAATTGTATGTGAAGAGACTGTACAGGTAGCTATAGGTTAACTAACTATACGTATACACTGGATCTCAGACAGCTAAACATACCCAGCAATTTCAATCCATCTTAATATCAAGAAACATATTAATATATGTCTTAAATATCCAAGAGCCGTTTACTAAACCTCAAGCAGGGGTTGCGTTAAGCACATTTGATTTTTTGTAAAGGAAAGGCTGACAGACAGATATTATGGGGTTGATTTCAATGGTATATCAATCCCCCTGTCCCCCCTCCTCCGTCTTACAACCCCCCCCCCCCCACACGCACACACAATCTAGTTCATTTCAAGACCATTTTATTTTATATAATCTAAAACCAGCCAAGCGAGGATCTGGGCTGTGCTCTGGGTTAATGTGCAAAAAAATCCTGTCCCTATTTCGAAAGGAAACATGTAGGTGAGCTCTGGGGGGAGGGGTGGGGGTGGGGGGGATACAAACAGGAGGGAATGTAAGTTTATTTGCTGTAAATTTCAACACTCTCCTATCATGAGCCCAAGAGTAAGGGATATTGGGAGAATTTAAACCTGCTTTGAGGCATACAATTGACCTTTTTTTGGGATTTGCATTTGATTAATGCTTTGTGGGGTATAACAGCTGGAACATTAAAAAAAAACACAAGCCATCGCTTTGCCCAGTGGGTCCGTTCAGGTGAACGCATTTTTAAAAAAATATATAATATCAACTGACTTTAAGTCAACACTAACCAGCAATGCTAATTGCAATACCCCTCACTGTTATGACTTTGCTTATTTCTCTGTGTGTGTGTGTGTGTGTTTTCCCCTCTTATCCTAGTCTGCCTTTGAGAGTCCCAGTGTGAAGCGGTTTTCAGGTACAGCAAAAAAAAATAAAAAAAAAAATAAAAAAGGAGAGTCAGTCGTTCACACAAAAGGCGTTTGTGTCTCTACTGATGAATTTTGCTGACCGCTTCCCCGAGAGATTCATTCCTTGAGCAGGGACCTATAAATCAGGAGTCAGCTCCCTATTGTACGCTATATCTTATGCAAAAAGGTGTTTCCAGTCAGTGCCAAAGGCTGCAAAATCCTATTACAACCGAGGTCATTAATTATAGGGAGTCGACAAAACTGAATCCTGCTATTTTTCACGCAAAGCTTGAAAAATTGTACGGAACCTCCTTAAAACACACATACACACACACACACACGCATGCATGCATACATACAGTTCACGGGCACTGTGCTGGCGTATACACATACACACACGCATACACACACAGACACACACACACAAGTACACGGATACCCAGTTGACAGAACTAAAATGCAAGACAGACAGATATACGCAAAGGTACATGGTCAATACAGATACCGCCAAATATATTGCACAAGATGCTCATATATCGCCTACACGGTTGCATGTCACACATATGTCACCATACATGCCCCCCACCACGCCCACCCCATCACACACACACACACACACAGAGAACCTTACTAATGCAGACTCCCTGACCCGGGAACTGACTACATATGGCCACAAGCTCGCGTTTAGCACCGTAATTAAACACGGCACCAGAGTCCTATATTGCTGCACGCTGGAGAGAGTCGGGGATGGGGGGGGTGGGGGTAGGGGGGGATGGGGGGGGGGGGGTTGTGGGGGTGGGGGGCGCTGGCGAAACGAAAGCGAATACGAAAATATTGACATTGCAAAAAACAATGGAGTCGGATGGACGCGAAAAAGTTTTCTTAAATGATTTGCAATTTTTTTTGCAAACATAAGATTGGAACAAAGTCATAGGTTATTGTTTTTTAAAGTTTGAGCGTGACCTCATATATATATAATATATATATATATATATAATATATAAGCCATCTCGCACCCTGACGCATGAGCAGCCATACAGGGCTGCCACCCATTGGCAAATCTTATTTGGCTATTAGGATATTGGATTTAGCTGTTAATTCGGGGCTATGGGGTTAACACAACTTCGATCGGAAAAAAAACATTCCCGCAAGAGGTTTCCTTATTGTACCACCAGTCGAATAAGTCTGGTTCACAATGGTGTGAAACATAATTTGCATCAATCTATTTATTGCAACTGAAGTTATATAGAAAGAGTTCAGAAAATGACAGGGAGCTAAAAGTATGGCCAGTATTAATATTATTATTATTATTATTATCAGGCGATGCCATTATAACGCTGCCATTTCCCTTTCCAAACATGGGAACAAACTGTTTACGTGATAGTTGGGTAATGTATATATATTACATTAAATCATTAGGCCCACACAAAGATTATTGTGCGTTCTCTTTCCGGACGCACAACTGGGGTTCATTTTGATGGATGGTAAAAAGAAAGACACTCTGAACACTTCCTAGATTCCTAGATTAATTCCTAGACAATTAACGCGCCCAAGAAGGAAATGGACCTCCAAAGGTTACCGAGACCAAAAAAAAAGTAAATACACGAACAAATAAATAATAAACACAGACACCTCTCAGGAAGAAGTCGCCATCGAAAGAACCAGCACTGCATTAACGGTGAAAAACAAGGCGCCGTTGACTGACCAAGTGAAACATTAAAGCCTTTCCGCGGTGCTTACTTAATTTAAGGCACTTACAGCAAATATCTCAAGTCTACCGCAAGAGTAAAGGAACGCAAATGCAGTGGAAATAAAAAAGGGAAAATGCAAAATAATTTTTTTTTCCCCAAAAAAAAATTTGCGACAATTTGCTTATCCCACACAGCGCATAATTATCGCGTTTGAAGTGTCCTCTTTAATACAAAAAAACCCACCATCCACATTTCAAATCCCTTCCTTGAGGTAATCGTCTTAATTAAACAGTCCATCCCCTTTAACTAGTGATGAACCCAGATACTGATACCGTTAAAAAAAAGCGCAATACCCCAGAAAGTTACTTCTAAGAAAAGTGACAAAAATCCACAGCTTTTAGCCCACAACGCATACGAGGAATTCACGTCGCAGTATATTCTGCGAAGCGCTTTCAGGCCTCTCGAAGACGTGATATTTATTAATATTATTACCATTAGAATAAATATCCCGCGTTTAGGGTTAACGTCGGCTTTGTTCCCAAGAAAGAGGAACAAGTCGTGACGTTTTGAACAGAAACGGATTCATATATCCCCCCCCCCCACCCCATTTGTTCTGGGAATGGAATTGCATCGTAACATATAAGAGCTGTTAATCAAACTGCCTCCGAAAATAACAATACTTCGACACTGACCCCCCCCCCCCCCCCACCACCCACCCCCCAGACCCCCCCACCCCCCCTCCACACACACACACACAAAACCATTGGTGTTTGTTCCGACGCTTTCATTGAGCAGAACGCACTCTCCTGAACTGTAGATGGTACAGAACAATTGTAACACATCTGGAACTACAGAGCCCAAGGAATATGGGAACAAAAGGACTTTTTGTACGAATTTCTCCGAACCGAGCCTTGTAATTTCACACATTTCGTATTTTTTTTTCCAGTGACCAATTTCCATCATGCACAATGTTATACCTCGTGACAAGGGGGGGGGGGGGGGGGAGGATATGATCTAAAAATGTTTTTTTTTTAAAAATCGCTTGTAAAAACAAGGGCCTTCCCCAATGTCTTTGAATAAGCTTAATCTAGATGTTCCTTGAATTATCCCAATGTGTACACAGGTCGAAGCCGCAACGTCTGATTTAATAGAATGGCAATGAAAAAAAAGTAGTGCAATTTCGTAACATTCGTCTCATCCAATCCATTGGTATTTTGGAGTTAAAAATTGCCTCGTTTCTTAACTCATTCTTGTGTTAACTAACAAAAGTGTTTGCACGTCAAATCAATCCGAGGAAATATTGGGGACAGAAGAAAAATGTTCCAGACAGCTTTCAACTTATTTAAAAGTGAAATAAATCACGAAAGTTTACACCAATATTATTTTTCCCCCTCCTTCGCCCCAACTACTGGGAAACGAATCGACTGGAAGCAGAATTTGTTGGTTTTTTTTAAAAAAAAACAGTGCAGAGAACTCCCCCCAAAGAATGCTTTTGAATCGGTGTTTTGTAAAAAAAAAAGGATATTTATTCAAGTTTTACTTTTTTTTTTGAACATCAATGGTGACAATTTTTTTTTACAGTTAATTAAAGAAATTTTTTTAAAAAGGTGCCACGCCAGGGAACGCCGAGAATTTGTGGGATGAGAACTAACTATTCGAAGCACTAAAAGTGATTGTCAAAATGGCAACAAAAAAAAGAAAATTTTTTTTTCTCTCTCTCTCTCACTCACTCTCTCTCTCTCTCTGTGACCGATGGAAACGTGGATTGTCAGATGAGAGGGTGGAAACTAAAACGATCTTTATTCACATTAACAACAGAACCAGTAACTAGTGATATCCAGTGCCTTCTTCAAACTTACTGCGGAGCGATGCAGGGCAGTGGCAGTGAAACACCAATAGATTTCTATCAGCCAGTCTCTTCCGGGAGTTCACTGTCGATAGCGCCACCATCTCTGCCACGTCAAACAAGCGTCTGCAAACGCCAACCCCCCCCCTCACCCTGCAAAACGAGGTCACTCGGATGAGACGCTTGGGGAGTCACTTGGTTGGCAATCGGTGTCACCATCTCTCTCTGCATTCTCTTTGAGTGAGTGTGTAGAGTGTGTGTGGGGCGGGCGGGGGAGGAGGGGGTGTGGGGGGAGGGGTGGGGAGGGAGGGGAGGGGGGGGGGGGTGTGGGAGAGAGCAGTACTCCACCAATGGGCCCTTTTGGGCCAAGTACTGTACTTCGAAGACGGTCAAGTTCGGTAATCTAATGCAGGGCGCTTGCTGGGTTCGTACCGTTGAGTCGTTGAGGCAACCTCGATGGGTCCACGGGTGCTTGATGGGTGTTACCAGACGGCTGTCTCGTTCATCTCTTGACTTGGATGTGAAAGGGAGCCGCTGTAGCCACTGTTGCTCGACATTGAGAAAGGCGGGCTTGGACCTCCACTGAACACCTCACCCGGAATTGGGTGCATTGGTCCCGTCATCCCTGGCTCTGGGCTGGGGGTGTCAGCGTGAGAAATCATGTCCGTGTACCTTTGGTTTTCACTGCCAGTGAGGGTTGGGTGGTGGTGACCGGGAAGAGGGGCTTCGAGTCCTCCCAAAGGAGGTCCTCCTGGTCCTGAGGTCTGCAGGTAGCTGGAATCTGCCGGGGAATGTGCTTGAGAGGAAGGCGGGCCGTGAGGGAAGAAGTCGTAATTTCCGGCCGGACCGTAGTAATCTGCTTGGTAATCTGCATGTGGGGGTGGGTGGGTGATGGGGAGAGGGGGTGGGGGAGAGATAGAGGAGAAAGGGTTGTAATTTTTATGTAGCTTTTGTGGGCAAATTGGTGAACAGGTTTGAGACGTCTCGAAGACACGATCAGGCGATATGTCAAATGCAAGAATTATTATTGTTATTAACAGAAGAAACTCCCCCAAAGGGTGTGTTTAAAACTCTCCCAATGTTGCAAAGTTCAGATCAGAGCATTTAATGTGCCTGGGTTCATAATAATAATAATAATAATTAATAACAATCCTTGCATTTGATATTGCGCCTTATCGCGTCATTGAGACATCTCAAAGCATTTCATAGGATACACTGTAAAGTGGATTGACTGTGTATTTTGTGGGCAAAATAAATTTTAAAAATGCATTAGAAATGGAGCTTAGCATTGCATTCCAAATATAGATATCACCAGAAATAGCACCAAAATACAGTTTAGAAATCTATCTGGAAAGGAACTATATATATATACATATACACACACACACATATATATACACATACACACACACACACATATATATATATATATATAGGGAGAGAGAGAGAGCTTGGCGTCCAATATAAAACATTTTCCTGCAAAATTGCACAGTCCCTATGATTGCTATGCTATGATTGACATCCCCCCCGCCAGCTGACG